TTATTGTGAGTGGTACTGATAGCTAGAAAGTGCAATGAGATACCATTTACAGTACAATTTTTAGTTTGACATTGTATTATCTTACATCAAGGCAGGAATATGATGTCTGATCTTTTGAGATTGGTTCATTTCCCTTAGCATAATGGTTTGCAGTTGGGCCCATTTGGCCATGCAGAAATGTATTTCATTTTTAAAAATAGCTGAGTAGTATGCTATAGAGTAGATGAATCATTTCAGGACTTGGAAGATCTTTGTCCATTCTCTCCTTGCTTGTAGGGTCTCTTCAGAGAAGTCAGCAATGATTCTGATTGGTTTTCCCCTGTATGTGATCTTTTCTCTGCTTCGTACTTGTCTCAGGATTCTTTCTTTGTCTTTGTTGGAGTAGAACTTGAGTATTATGTGTCTGGGTGAAGATCTCTTTGGATCATGTCTGTTGGGAGTACTCTGTCCATCCTGTATGTGGGCTGTGAGCTCTGTTGTTTCTTTGTTGAGTTTTTGTTTCATAGACCTGTCCATTGATGTTAAAGGTGTGTTGAGATCACCTACAAATATTGTGTGTGTATCTATGTCTCCCCTTAAGTCTGTAAGTAATTGCTTTACGTAACTAGGTGCGTTGGAATTTGGTGCATAATTCAAAAGCACTTGAGCAGTGCCCTTGCAGCATGCCCGACGTTTGGTGCCCTGGGATGCATGGGAGGCTGGGGAGGCTTCTCCCTTTATCTCCCACTTTGCCCCAGATGCAGAAAGAAAAGAAAAAGAAAAAAGAGAGAGAGAGAGAAATGTGGAAACAATGGTCTTACCCACTTTCCCATAGCCCTTGACCCTTTGTGCCCTAATCCAATATGTATAATTTCGTCGAGCACCATTTGCATTCCTGATTCTCTTTCTACTCCTTTGGGAAGGCCCATGATCCAAATATTCGATTTTCTGAGGTGATCTTTCATTTCTTGTATCATTTTATTAGCTTTGCTGAGGCTTGTCTCCAGCTGTTTAACTAGCTGGGTATCTTCATTATGTGTGTCTTCAGTTTCAGAGATCCTTTCTTCTGCTGTATTTATTCTGTTGGTCAAACTTTCAATTTTGAATTCCAGGTCAGCCATTTTGGTTTTGACTTGTATTTCTGTGATTATGTGGTTCTTGAAGTCTTCCCACTTCTTCTCATGGTCTCTGATGAATTTTAGCATTATTTTTTAAAATTCCTTGTCTGGTAAATCTTCCATGTCTTCATCTTGTATCTCTGATATTGATAATGGCTTTTGGCCTTTATTTGGTGGGGTGCTGGCTCTTTCATCTGGAGCATAACTTTTTCTGATAGTTCTTCCCATTGCGTTGATGTATTTTTGGAGAGGCCAAGGCACCTGTGTGTTGAGGGGTCTTCAAGCGCTTTCCTGTAGAGATTGGAGCCTGCAGGTGTGGAGTTGCAGGCCGTGGGAATTTTCAAGGCACTTTTGGTGTGTCTTCAGTGCATGGGACTGTAGGGCACCGCCTCCAAGGCCCCGTGGATTCCAGGTACACTCTGGGCACCTCCTCTACAGGTGCGGCGCCCCAGGGCGTGGAGGGATGAAGGCGCTCTCTGGGTGCGTCCCCTGCACGGGAATCCACAGGACATGGAGGATTTTATGTGCTTTCTTGGTGCGTCCTCAATGCCAGGGACTTCAGGGTTTTTCAGAGCCCACCTAGTGTGTCGCCCAAGCATGGGACTGTGGGCGAGGGGTGATCCAGGCACTTTCTGGGGGTGACTTCTGCACAGCGGTTCCACCACGCACGGCGTGGGGGTGTTCAGAGCCCTCCTGGTGTGACTCCCTCGCACAGGACTTCAGTGAAGGAGTGACCCAGGTGCACTGTGAAAGTGACTTCTGCCCAGCGGGTTTGCACAGTGCCAGTGCGGCTCTGGAGTTTTCAGAGCCCTCCTGGTGTGTCGCCCACGCTCAGAACTGTGGGGTGGGAGACGAGGAGTCGGCCAGTCACTCTATGGGAGTGGCTCCTGCACGGCGGGGTCACACAGCGGTTCCACCACGCACAGCATGGGGGTGGTCGGAGCCCTCCTGGTGTGTCCCCTGTGCACAGAACTGCCCGGCAAGGGGTTAGCCAGGCGCTCTGTGTAGGCGGCTTCTGCACAGCGGGACCGCACAGCCTGGGGATGTGTTCAGAACCCTCCTGGTGTGTTGCCCACCCATAGGATATCAGGGTGTGGGGGGGTTCCAGGCACTCTCTGGTAGCTTCTGCGCACTGAGATGCACTGGCCCTAACAGCGCGGGAATATTTGGGATGCTTTCTTTGTGCCTCCTCAGCACACAGGACCACTGTGCGCACCTCTAAGGCACAGTTTCGGCAGTTTCAAGGCACTTGCCCTGTGTCCTCAGAAGCTGGGATGTCTCCTGTTGGTTGCCCTTAAAGGTGACTCAGCAGGTCTGGAGCAGGACGCCGTCTTCCCTACTTTTTGTTTTGTTTTGTTCTCGTTGTTCTTCCGAGTTGTGTGGATCTTTTTGGCTCCACACTGTCCAGGGAACTTCACACCACACCCTGCGGCTCTTTGCTGTTTCTCTTTGCTGCTTCTGTAGCATTCTATCCCTCTCTCACTGCGTTCTCCCTCACAGCCTTCCTGCTATGTTGGCCATCTTCGAATCATCCTGTCCCCTGTATCCTAAAGCTATTGCAACAGTGTACAAAACGGCGCCTGATGTACCATTCCTAGAGTTCTTTATTTTTTTTTTGAGTGTGGGTAATACCATTGTTTCCACAATAATATTGTAATTTCCCCCTGCATCTGGGGTTAGGGGAATATAAAGGGAAAAGCCCCACCCAACCTCCCACCCAACCCAGATCCCCAACGGGAGGTGCTCCGAGAGTCCTGCTCAAACACTTTTGATACTTAAACAGTTCTGGATTGCTTCCAATCTCGCCATTCCAATCACAATGAAACCTATTCAGAGTCCACTGGCTGACACAGTCTCTTCATGGTTGGGGTTCTAAGATCAGTAGTTCAGTTGGAGGGATCTCCAAAGAAACTGCATCTGAGATGATCCCATACCCGATTCTTGACTGAGTTTGCTAGTACAGACTCCAACACCGTCAGTCACCCCAATGGGCTTATGCACGTGCTGGTCGTTGATATTGCTGGGTCAGTTCTGTCTTCCTTGTGAATCATCGGGTGTTGTAGTCCAGCTCGATCCTACCCACTTCATACTCGGTCCTCATGCAAACCAGTGGGAGCTGCAGCCTTGTTGGGGTGACTCCCTGTAACCCCACCAGTTCTGCCCCTACACTGGTTTCCATGCTTGCCAGTATGTACTGCAGGCATGTCCAGTCTTTCCCACATCCCATTTAGGTCTGGTACTTGTGTATGGGCATTGAAGCCTAGTTCAACCCAACCAACTTAATATCCAGCCCTCACACATACTGGCAGGTGGCTTCCTGTCTAGCCAACCCTGCCCCTGTGCTGGTTGCTGTGCTCTCCAGTGAGAGTGGTTACCCATGATGAAGGTGCCCACTATTTCTCTACTAGGCCTCTCCAACTCCCAGATTATGCACTCTCCAGGTGGTTCTGGTATTTGACTTGACAAAATTATCCACTAGTGCCAGCCTCAGCATCTGGTGATGTGGCAAAGCCCAACCAACCCTTACCTACTCTAGTTTTTGCTTGCACCAGTCAGGACAGTCAGCCCAATCTGGCCCTTCCCCAATCAAGCTCACATGAGGCCCACAGGTGTTGTAGCCCTGCCTGGTCTGATACGCCCCCATCCAGACTCAAGCTTTCTGATGGAAGTAGTTGTCCAGCAGGGGGCCCACATTCCCTTGCCAACTTTGCCTTCTACCCCCCCCCCCCCCGGTTCTTATGTGCCCCCCCGGTTCTTATGTGTGATGTTTGGGTGCAGCAACCACATCTGGTATGGCTCACCTCACCTTAACAATCCCTATGTGCACTGGTATGTGTTGCAACCAAAACTGGCCTGACCCACACTCTATGGTGGTTGCTTGGATTCGCCAGCGGGTGATGTGAACAGGTTCAGCTTGGTCTGCCCCCCACTGATGCCATATGTATGATGGTAGGTATTTTCCTCTGGCCTGGTCTGGGTTGCTCCATATAGTTTTCTTGCACTCACCTGTAGGGGCTGTGTTCCCACAGAGGAGTTTCGCAAGCTCCTCCTTCTGACCCTCTCCCTATGCCAGGTCTTGCATTGACTGGTGGTTCCATGGGCCAGCCCTTGTTGCTGGCCTTCAATCCATTCCAGTTCTTGGTGTTAGCTGTTTCACCCCAGCCAAGGCTAGTTCATACCCAGATACTGCTCACACATGGCTCAGTAGGGGCAGAGACCCAGCCTAGTGCATTCTACATCTACTCAGATTCTCCAGAGCCCCAGATGGTGCTGGTCTAGCCCTGCTTGGTGCACCTAGTCCCAGCCACATTAGTGCCAAGGGAGACTGCAGCCATATCCAGACCAGAATGCAGCCCCCACTCCAGCTCCCACACCCTCCCGTGGGAAACCCAACCCAGCAAGGTTGTACTCTCACAGCTCCCCAACCGAGTCTATTTCCAACCCTAGATGATGTGTGTCAGTGGGTACTCTGACTCAGTTGGCTTAGCCCTTCACCTGTCTCATCCTTTGCCTTCGATACTTTGCTGTGTTATTTCTGTCTCATGAAGACCAGTTGGAGTAAGAGCCTAGGTTAGAATGACATGTGCTCCATCCTGATTTCTTTTTCTTTTTTGTGAGTTGAAGTTTGCTTAGCCCTGCCTGGTCTGCCCCGTTCAAGTTGTAGCTTGGCCCACCCCACATCCTGTTTTAGGATGCACATTCAGGTACTGCTGCATTGACCTGCCCTGACTGTTGTGGGTTCCTTTACCTGTGACTGATGGCAGCTGCCATGGACACTCCTAGCTTAGCCCATCACCACCCCAGCTCGCAAGCTAAGCAGGGGGACTCGTATTTCCACAGGATTAGGCCTACACTTCTCTACAGAGTTTACCCCTGCACCAAGTTCTCTGATGTTCTGGTTAGTGTCTAGACCCTGCCAAATATGAAGAATCCAGTATTCCACCACCCATTCGGGTAATGGTACCTAGCCCTGCCAGACAGGCCCCCATCCATAACATTTGTGTGAACTGGTGTGTGGCAGTCAGAAATGCTCTATGTTAACAGTCTATCTTAGGATTTCTAATTTAGCTAGTGAATCAGTCTAGCCCAAATAGATCTTATGGACACTCCCATGCAAACCACCAGGTCTCAGTCCCCACAATTGTCTGAAAGTTTCATGACCCTGTTACAGCGAATCACCCAGAATTCATCTCTTATCTGCACTAAAACTGGCCTTATTCATGGGTGTCCCTAAGCAGCAATTTCATACCCTAAAAACCCTAGAGCTGGCCCACAGCCAAGGACAAAATCACTGCTTTTCAGCAGTGGCCTTAGCCTGAGTCCCCAGCCTTGGATCCGGTCTGGCAGGGGCAACCCCCACAGTCGCCACAATATAGGGAGTTGCAAGCCACCCCCTATCCCAAGGCTGAGACCCCTCTCAGGCTGGGCCTGCTGCAGGTTTAGTGGCAGGGCAGAGCTAGGACTTTAATCCAGTTTCCAAGTTCCCCTCATGGCGTACTCACCCTGGGGGGAAGATCTCTCTTGGGTCTGGGGAAAGCCAAGGACAAAGTCACTGCAGTTTGGCAGTAGCTTTGGCCTGAGTCCCCAGTCTTGGATCCGGCCTAGCAGGGGGACCCCCATAGCAGTATCTGATCTACTTACATCAGGTGCTAATGAGGTCTCTTGATTGAGGTGGGTACAAATATTGATCCCATGTTAGAGATGTGAAACCTGAGACTCAGAGAAGTGAAGCTGTGAGCCCAAGGTCTCTGGGCTGGGAGGTGACCCAGAGAGGGTGTGAATCTAGGTCTGATGGTTCTGGCACCTGTGCTTTTTCCTGAAGGAGGTGGTATGTTCTGATGCCAATTTTCCATCTTGTTTCTCTGTTATCAGTTGGTGACCCTGTATGAACTGTGCAGCGATATGCTGCAGGGAGCCCTGGTGTCTTCCATTGGCTGTAAGTCCTCCACATGTATTGGGTAAGGGCTGTGGCCTTGGATCCTGGGAGATCTTGTGCTATGCCAGCTGTTCTTGGAAATAGACCCAAGTCCAGCCCCTCTGCCAAGCTTGGCCCTATATTAGAGCCCAAGGTCCACATCTCAATGTTCTTCTCCAGACTCAGGATGCTGCAGCTGCTGAGCTCTCTCCTCCTTGTGGCCCTGGGTTTGCCCCCAGCCTGAATCTATGCTTGCTGTGCTGCCCTGGGCCATGATCCTGGAAATGTGCTACTCATCCTGGATTCCATAATCCAACACCGGCTTCCCTCAGAGGGGTTTCAAGGGACACAAAGATCTGATTGCAAGGTTTCCTTAGTTGAACTTATAGTTCCTTCTCCAATATCCACTTTATCACCGAAGGTTCTTGAACCCTCGAAAAGGCAGTTTCACCTGGAGGTTCTACTTGCTCCACCTGCAATGATCACTGGGCCTTTTGCAAATCAGCTGCATCTGGGGAAGAAGGGAGGCTTTACTCCAGGGACTGATGTTGTGATAGAGGAATCCAGGCACTGTTAGAGGCATGGGTAGGGACTCTGTTCCATTTCCTTGAGTCCCACAGTAGGGCTCTGCGTTCTGGAGCACAGAGAAGGAAGAGTTGGATCAGGGCAGTGTAAGGTAGTACTAAGGGCAAGGCTTGCTTTGCTGTGGAGCACAGTAACCATAACCTCATGGGACTTTTAAGTGTCAATTAAATACTTTAAATAACATCCTACACTTAGTTTCTTTGTGCCATCCACATTACAACAGCCACATGTAACCAGTGGTTTCCCTTTGGAGAGGAGGCAGAGAATATTTCCATATCCCCAAATATTCTCTTGTGCAATGTCAGCAGTTACATTCTGGGCGGGAGCAGAGAGTGAGTGCTTGTATCCCTGTCAATTACATGGCTTCTCCATCAGTGACTTAGCCCTGCCATTGCAGCAGGAAAGCAGCCAGAGAGCATGTGTGTCTGAGTGAGCGGCCTGTGTGCAGTCAGCATCTGTGTACACACAGACCAGTGCCAGTATTGGGCCGTGGGTCTTACTTTGCCAACCTTTGTGTTGAGGAAGACTTGAAGAATCTGAATGAGTAGGAAAGAAGAAGGAGACAAAAGTCTGGGTGTAATGCATGCTTCAGAAGCTGCAAGAGCCCAGGAGAATGGGGGCTGAATGATCAGAGTCTTCATGGCTCTTACTAGGTAAGAGGATTGGTAAGAACTTGAACTGTGGTTATGCATCAAGGTGGAGGAATCCACCAAGGGGGGAGGGGTATGGGAGGGGTGGGGGGAATCCCCAGTGCCTATAAAACTGTATCACATAATACAATGTTAACAACAATTAAAAAAAAAAAAGAGGATTGGGGCATCCCTAGAAGGCAGAAAATGTGAGTCCTTTCAGAGATCACAGGCCCTGGATGGAAAGAGCAGTAAATCACAGAGATCCCATTGGATGGTACTTCTTACATGAGTAGTTTGGCAGGTGGTGTGCTGCATATGTTTAAATGGACTATTGTTCTTGTGTTAAAGCATCTTTCTCAGCCCTGCATTGCATTATGACTTGTGAGCCTAGAATTCTCTCAGAGCTGTGTTTCTGGGACATCAGATCTCATTTTATAAACAGTATCATGTCCTGAATTTAATCTGTTGCTGGACTCTCATCAGAACTTTTGGGAATTCTATTCTCCCCATCTGTGTCCTCTCTGGCCTTCACTGATCTTCCCTATGTGCTGGTCTGTGTGCTAACCCCCTCTCTTTGTTGGGACGTGAGTGCTAGTCAATTACAGGTCATTCTGTGAATTCATTTTACTCTAATTGCTTCTTTATAGTCCCTGTGTCCAAACCTACTCACATTCTAAGGTTCTGGGTTGTAGGACATGAACTTATATGGTTTGTGCATATAGCATTTGAGACAGTCCAAGACATACAGTGTAGCTCATCATGTATATTAATCACTTAGTAATCTTTTGTATGACACTCTGTTTTTCCAGCCTCTTGTTAGTGCTCATATAAGTTATCTCCAGTTATTTTGTTCCTAAAAGCAAGGCTGCATTGAGTAATCAGTACTTAGCTCTTTGCTTGCTTGGAAAGAGACTTGGAATTGGAATTGATAAGTCAAAGGACAAAAATGCTAGTTTTCATTTGGTATTTGTCTAAACCTGAAAGTGTTGCTCCGTATTATTCTTAATTTTTGGAAACAATTATTGTGAGGAAAATATGAATCACTAACAAGTGAACTACCAAAATTCACTTATCATTTATCCATATGGCTTATTCTTAATATATTTAAAAATATATTTATTTATTTGGAAATAAGAGACTCAGAGAGCCAGAGAGAGAGAGAGAGAGAGAGGACCTAGGAAGCCACAGCTAAAGCTAGATGTAGAGATAGACATTGTAGAGAGCTAGAAATAGAAATAGAGATAGTAAAATATTTCTCTTCTCCCACATACCACTAACAGACAAGCAGTTGAAGTCAGGAGCCAGACACTCTATCTGGATCCTGGATCTCTCTAAAAAGTGTTAGGAAAATACATGAGGCATCACCACCGGCAGAGAGCATCTGTGTGTGTGTGAGTGGCCTGTGTGTAGTTCGCGTCTGTGCTCACACAGACCACAGCCAGCCTGGGGATGTGGGCCATACTTTGTCAACCTTGGTTTCCAGGGAGATTTTGAGAATCTGAATGAGAAGGAAATGAGAAGGGGGCAAAGGAATCAGGGTGAGTCATGCATCAAAAGCTTGAGGAGGTCCTAAAAGAGTTGAGGTGGAGGAGAATGGGGTTCAGAGAGATCATAGGGTTTGTGGGGCTGTGAGGTTTTGGGCTTCCTAGAGGGCAGAGAATGAGGGTCGGAGTCTTCAGAGAGCTCACAGGGCCTGGAGTGGGTATACTGGAGAGTCCAGTTATGATCTTTTTGGACAAGTACAGGACCACCTTGAGCAGGTGTGCATGCAGCACACTGTGCATCTCAGAGGATCTCTGGTGTTCTGTGTGGATGGCACCCTCTAAGGTGTTCAGTGCACACTGCATGCACAAACCTTCAGTGTGTGCCTGTATCTCTCAGACTGTTTCCCTCTGGGCCCCAGGTTGCCTTGTTGTATGAGAACAATGGTTATCTGTACTTCATCTGTGGCGGGTCGCTCATCAAACGGAACTGGGTTATGACAGCTGCGCATTGCTTCCTGTGTTCTGCTACAGTGCCTCTCTTCCCTGATCTTTGTCCCTGTGAGACGCAGACATCCTGTGCCAGTGGGTGGCCATAGGAGGTGGACAGTGAAGCCTAAACTGACCTTTCCTCCTTTGACAGCTACGATGGGCAGTACTGAGTGCTGTTAGGTGTGCACAACCTGTCTTCACTGTCGAGTTCTCAACAGCAGATCATCCCTGTGTAAAGGATCATCAAGGACGCAGACTATGATGATGATGATGCATCCTTAGGGTAAGTGATCTCTCAGCCTGGGAGCAGGTTTCGGTGTTCTTCCTTTCAAGATCCACAGCTCACCTGGAGCCTCCCAGGGACAGTGGGGAGGATGACCACACTGGCCTAGCTCCCACACACTGAACAGATTTTTAGAGACCGGCAGTATTAATCTGTCTACCTACACAGGGGACAGCATGTCTTGGGAGAGGGAGTAAGTTCTCCCGGGACTGCTGGACTCAGTGTCCTGGAGCCCAGGAGCCTCAGACCCTTTCCCCAAGTCCAAGGTGTGCTGTGCTCAGCAGAGATTCCTCCAGCACAGCCTGGGTTCCTAGGCTCTGTGGGCAGAAGAGGAGGCCGTGGGTGTCCCTCCCTCCCTGAGTGTCCTGGGCATTGAGTGCCTGTTCTGGCCTTCAGGGTTTCACTTGTCCCAGGTGACCTGAAACACTGTACACCTTTATTTCTGGAGGCTTTAATGTTTTATTGTGAGAGGTCACAGGAAGGGGCAGAACCATCATACTAACACTATGGAAGTGAGAGGCCATTGATAGAAACCCAGGCCCAGGCGCTTCCCCACAGGGCTTCCTGGGGATATATGGAGATAAGAGAGACCCAGAGGAAATGCTTGTAGTGACAGCAGACAGAGTGTGAGCTGTGGGAGAGCAGCACCTGTCTGCCCTGGCAACCTGCTAAAAGTATCAGATCTCAGGCTTCAGTCTGATCACAGCCCCACAAACATTGGTGGGTCCTTGTATTCCACGTGTCTTTAAAATTGTTGCTTATTTGTTTTAGTTGAAGACAGAGAGATGAAGCAAGTGTGTGTGTGTGTGTGTGTGTGTGTGTGTGTGTACGTGTGTGTGTGACAGAGAGAGAGAGAGAGAGAGAGAGAGAGAGAGAGAGAGATAAAGACAGAAACAGAGAGAAGTAGAAAATGTCTTCCTACTCTAAACACACCCTGCAGCTAAGGCTGGACTTGTCCAGAATGGACAGGAATTGTCTCTGAGTCTCTCAGTGGTTGCTGAAACAAAAACATTTGGGCTGTCATCTGCTGATCCAGGGTGCATATGAGCACCAAACTGGGATGGGAAGCCAAGTTTCGACTTGAAACTAAGCACTGTGATGTGTGATGCAGCCTCTTCACCACTGTGCCCACGCCACTCCCCAAAGTGTGTTATTAAACTGTCATGTTTTGATGTAGCTGGGGTGTGAAGGTCAACAGTGGAAACCAAGGTCAATTTTGATGAACAAGAATGGGAAAGACTGAAGAGGTGGAGGTTTCTGGAGTGTTGTGTGTCTTAGACACGGATGTTGGGTAGACAGGAACGGTAGTGTTCATTTAAGTGCTAAGGTGTTCTTATTATTATTTTCCATGATTCAATTTTGGAGTTTAAAAGATTGTTCCTTTCCCCAACCCCTCTCTTCTTCCCTCCTGATTTCTACCTTCCTATATTTCCTCAAATATCATTATAATTGTACATTTCTTTAGTAACAGTAACAAGTTTAGCATTCTAAAATTTATGTCCATCGTGGTATTTCAGGTGTTGCCAATCACAGAAAATATGGTATCAAATTTTCAGATATATTCAGCAGTTTCGTTGGTGGTCTTCCTTTTATTAGGGAGAAGTGGTGCACACTGCAATGTAACTTTACCTACAGACATGCAGGTGTTAGAGTTCATTCATGAAAATTATGAATTTTAATTGTACTGAATATATCTATGTAGTTATATATACTGAATACAACTATGTAGGTGTGACAACACTATTGCAAATGTAGAATTTCATTCTTTTCAATAGCTGTGTGGTATTTCATGGGGTAGATCCTTCATATTTTCTCTCATACTTACTCTCTTATGTTCTTATAGCAGGTGTTGCTAGTAGATTTGTGTGTACAACCTTCTGCAGGTGTGAAGCCTTTGAGCAAAGGTTGGGCATGGGATCTGGTTCCTTTTGAGAGTCAGGTTCTACATGATTCTTCCTTCCCCACAGCTATCACATAGTCCTAGGAAGACTAGAACATTGCTGTGTTGATGGACAAAGTTTAGCTTGCTACCCTCCCTCCTCCTGGATACAAGCTGCCAAATGGGACACCATGTTACATCAGTGACTGGGGCTACACGTTGAGTCGAGTATGTACTGACCAGAAAGAGTGGGAGAAAGAGAAACACTGGGTCCATGGACAGTGATGCAGTGGTACACAATACTTTTGGATGTTGGGATAATGGGAGGAGCATCCCCTTGGATCTGAGGAGCTGTGGGACCTTGAATGCCGCACCTCTAGAAATCTAGCCAAGATCCAGACATACGCTTATTGCTCTGTGTTCCTACAGCTGAAGGTCCAGACTCAGATGTACTACTGGAGGGTCTGATGCTGCCTTTGGTGGATCATGAACACTGCTCTGATCCGGAGTGGTGGGGTGACAACGTGAAGCGCTGTCATGTGTGTGCTGATGGATATGAAGTCTCTGGCTGCTTTGTGAGTCTCCTTACACTGACAATTGGGGAAGGGTCTCAGTGTTCTACTATCTTTCTGGAGGTGGAGGAGCTGCCTTCTATGTTAGCTCCAAGTAGATTCCAGGCCAGGCAACACTTGGAGGAAGTCAGCACAGCCCACACATCACTGACTCCTGTCCCACCTTATATTCCCCCTCACCCGGGAACCATCACTGTCCCTTCTTCTTCCTGGTGCTCAGTCTTCCCATCAGCACAGCAGGGACACTCGCACCACCACTTTGAGTCACCCACTCTGGGCTCTGCAGGGATCCTCAACCACTGTGCTGTGGCAGCTGAGTCCTCCTAGTCAGCAGAGAAGGTGCTGCCAGCAGGGGGCGCTGGCGTCTCTCGGGGCTCCCTCTGTGCCAGGGGCTGTGCTGAGGTCCTGTGTGGGTCCCTTCCTGCTCAGCAGGTGTGGTAGCACAGACCCTGGTCCTGGCCAGCTGAGGCCCTGAGGCTGGGAGACGTGCAGCAGTGTGGGTGTGTCTGCAACCCCCAGGTCAGGGTCAGGGACAATTCCTTCCAGCTGAGAAGATGGCAGGTAAGTTTCCACCCCTCTGACCATGACAGGGTGACTCTGGAGGACCCCTCAACTGCCCTGCAGAGCATGGCTTCTGGATGGTCTGTGGCATAGTCAGCTTTGGTTCTTTTTACCTGAGTGTCGTGCTTCATTGACTGAATTAATTTTGTGTGGACTGGGCAGCTGGCAGGGCTTCACTGGGGCATGGGGCATTTTCCTGAGATGAGCTAGGGGACAAGACAGAAAGGGCATATTGGTGTTTTGTGGCTGCAGGGATCATAGAAGGGCATTGTTGGAGGGTCCGTGGTGACATCTTGAGGGGCATGGAGATGTGTTATGCTCTGTGTGGCCTCAGAATTTCACAAACTTTAGGTGGAGCTTTGTACTTTGTGAGAATCTCTCATTGTGTCCTCTGCTCAAACCATTTCTTGTCATAGATTACAGACCCTCACACAGCCAACTGTTGTAGAAAATGTGGAATGGTGAGGGCTGTGATCAGGGAAGCTGATGCTCTGGCATCTTCTGGGGACAGCTAGTTACAGAAGCATAATTTTGTCCACAGTCTCAGCAGTGACTATCACTTAGAGTCCATGTAAATATGCACCAAGGCCAGTGATAGGGTCCTTCGTAGTTTAATCAAAATCACTGATGAGGTAAGTACTATGGTCACCACAACCATTAGTGAAGAACCTGAGGCTCAGAGAGAGCAAATCACTTTCCCAGGACCCACAGGGAATAAGTGGTGAGACTGGAAGCTGACCCCAGTTTTATGTGACTCCAGAACCTGTGATGCTAACCAGGATGTTCTGTCCTCTTCCTTTTCCAGAACATTGGCAGTTGTTCCTGCTGTTCATGAGGACCCCACATTCTCTACAAATAATAAAGATTTCTCAGCAAGTTTTGAGTTGGGTCTTTTTTCTACATTGCCTCTTCCCCTGTGGTGTGTTCCTGAAATCTGAGAGCTGAATTGCAGAGATGAGAGCAGATTCAATCTCTCATGTGAGGACAAGAATAATTTTGTTCCCAGGTCAAAGACGGTGTCCTGATGGTGTGATGATGCTCTTGTTTTGGTTGGGACTGTTGATTCTCAGACCCAGGACTTCCACTGTTGAAACTGAGGTAGTACCAGGACAAAGGACAAGCAGGTCCACTAGAATTAGTCCCTAGATATCAGTGTCTTCCCATGGAGGCACAGCAAACAATGACACCTTCAATGAGTCTGAGGTTCTCTGCTCTGGAGGCTCATGGTAGAGTGGAAGGTCAGGGGTTCATTCCTCCACTGACTTGGTGGAGAAGGAGTGCTGTTGTCATTCACTCATTCACTCACTATCATGCATTCCTTATTTTAGTGGCGGGCTCTGAAGGGGAGGGTCAAGTGAATCCTGCTCTGAAGTGATCATTACTTACTGAGATGTATGCCTGGCAGGGACATCCAAGAAACATTGGCTGACTTCGTCTTCATGACCAGCACCAGGATGAGAGTGTAGAGATGAGTGGGATAGCCTGAGTGAACCCTGGTCACCGGACAATGCATCACACACACGCCAAACAGGAACAGGTGTAGTGCTGCACACAGAGAACATAAATAGTCAAGTGTTAGCATCTGACGTGCAGGAAGATTAAACAAAACACAGCCCACCTCTGGATGCATGTTGCTCTGAACTCCACTGGATGGAGCCTAGCCCCAGCAAAAGCACTTGTCAATCACTCTCATTATTATTTAAAATATTGATTTTAGTTTTTATTGTAAAGTCAGATTTACAGAGAAGGAGATACAGAGAGAAATATCTTCCATCTGCTCTTTCCCTCCCCAAGTGGCCAGAATGGCCGGAAATGAGCCAAACCATCTCACTCTCTCTCTTTCTCTCTGTATGTGTGTTTCTCTGATCTTCTTTTTCTCACTAATACTGCTTTTAAAGTAAATAATAAATAAGTCTTAAGTGTGTGTGTGTGTGTGTGTGTGTGTGTGTGTGTGTGTACGTGTTTTTTGCAAAAGAGGTATTTCGGATAGTGAGTCACACCCACAGTATACATCGGAGACCCTGGATTGGCAATTTGTGGAGGATATATAAGAGTTCTAGAATCACACAGGCATTGCTCATTCTGACTAAGGTAAACTGGTGACAAGTAACTTATATGTGTGGCTAAGGCATTATAGGACTGTAAATTCTGAATGTCCTCTTCCTCCTGATGGATGAGAGCAGGGCCCTTGGAGAATTATCCAGAATAGCTTCAGAATAAAGCATGGTGGAATGTGGTGTCCAGGCATGGTGTCCCCATAAAATACTACCATGTGTCAGAGAAGAGATGAGAACAGCTATGGTCCCTATGATCCTGTCTCACCACACATGGGAATAAGAAAATTTTGCCACAGATGGTTAATGATTTGATCAACATTTCAATTTTCATTACAAAAGATATTATAGTCTCAATAATTCAAACTTTTAAAGTAAGTTTTAGTGAATAACTTGATTTTTTAATATAATACTGTGTTGTAGTGGATTAAGCCACTATCTGTGGTGCAATGCCCTGATTGATCTTTCCCTCTAGCTCCCTGCTAGTGTTCCAAGGAAGGCAGTGGAATATGATTGTGGCTATTCAGGATTTGAGGGTGCAACTCATGGTGTGGTGTTGATTCAGGTATAAGAGAGATGCTGGGGAATTTGTACGTTTTACTACATTTCTGTTCACTTTTAGGTGGGTAATATGTGAAACTATGCAATGATTCAACATTAGGTAATAATAAATAATAATCAAAATAGGTGTATTTAAAATTAATCCTTGGCAGCTGGGTGAGTTTGGGAGTGGTTCAGGCATTGGGGTTGGGGCAACTGCAGCACCCTGCAGTGTGGCGGCTGTGTGTTGGGGGTGCCCCTGCCAGGTCGGACCCAATGCTGGGGACTCAGGCCAAAGACACTGCTGGAAGGCAGAGAACAAGTCCTCGGCTTCCCCCAGGGCGGCCAGTGTACCAAGTGGTGCCAGGCTTTGCCTGCTGGCCGCCTGGCAACAAACTCAGGATTTTTAAGATATGTAGTTGCTGCCTGAGGACACCCATGACTAAGGCCAGTTTTAATGTAGGTGAGAAGTGAATTTTGGGTGATTCCCAGTGACAGGATCTTGAAAGTTTCAGGCATGCGTGGGGACTGAGACCTGGTGGTTTGGAGGGAAGTATTCACAAGATAATTTGGGTTACACAGATTCACCAGCCCAATTAGGAATCCAGAGATGGGCTGTTAGCATAGAACATCACTGATCACCACACACCAGCCCACACCAAAGGTATGTATGAGGGCCTCTTTGGCAGTGTTGGGTACCATTACCCGATTGGGTGATGGAGTTGTGGAGTGGTCCCTTTTGGCAGGGTCAAGACACTATCCAGCAAGCGAGAGAACTTGGTCTGGGGGCAGATTCTGTGGGGTTGTATGGGCCCAACCCTGTGGAAATACAAGTCCTGCTGGTTAACTCGCAAGCTGAGGTTATGATGATCTAAGCTAGGAGTGACCATGCCTCCTGCCATCACTCACAGGTAAAGGAACCCACAACAGTCAGGGCAGGCCAAGGCAGCAGCACCTGAATGTGCATCCTAAAACAGGATGTGGGGTGGGCTGGGCTGCCACTGGAAGGGGACAGAATGGGCAGGGCTGAACAAACCTTAATTCACAAGAAACAACAGAAATCAGGTTGGAGCACAGGTCAAGCCAAGTAGGCCCTGGCACCTACTGCTCTGCGTGTGCCAGGGACTCTAAGCCACAGCATCTAAGGCAGGGGCCAGGACAAATGAGGGGCTCTGCCAAGCAAAGTCAGACCAACCACTGGCCTGCACGTGATCTATGGCTGGGAATAGGCCCAGTTGGGGAACTAAGGGGAAACCCTAGCTGGGTTGAGTTTCCCAGCAAATAGCACATGGGCTGGAATTGGGGCTGCGTTCAGGTCAGGAAATGGTTGTAACCTCACTTGGCACAAGTGTGGACTGGGACTGGAAGCACCAAGCCAGGCCAGACTCCAACACTCTCTGGTGCTCTGGAGGACCAGGGTAGATGTGTGACAGACTAGGCTAGGTCTCAGCCCTTACTGAACCATTTGTGAGCTGTAGGTGGGTATGGAAGAGTTGTGGCTGGGTTGAAACATCCAACAGTAAGAACCAGATTGGGTTGAAGGCCAGTCAGGAAAAGCCCCTGTTCCTGCTAGGACAGGAGGTGAACTGAGTAGGGCTGGCTCATGGAACCCACTGGTATGCGTGAAATCTAGCACTGGGAGGGTTTCTGCTGAAGGAGCCTGGACAATTCCTCTGGCAGTACAGAGTCCCTGCAGGTAAGCACAAGAAGCACAATAGGAAACAGCCCAGAACAGGCAATGGAAATTGTGCCACTGGCATACACATGGCATGGGTTGGGGGCAGACCAGGCTGAAGCTGTTCACATCACTTGCTGGCGAATCTGAGCACCAGAACAGAGTGTGGGTTGAGCCAGGTTCAGTTGCAACACATACTAGTACACATTAAGGAATACCAAGGCAAGATGAGCAGTGCCAGATGTGGTTGCAGTGCCCAAACAGCACATGTGATAATCGGGGGGGGAGGAGGGGGGAGAAGGCAAAGTTGGCAGGGGAATGTGGGCCCCCTGCTGGACAACTACTTCCATCAGAAAGCTTGAGTCTGGATGGGGGCGTATCAGACTAGGCAGGGCTACAACACCTGTGGGCCTCATGTGAGCCTGATTGGGGAAGGGCCAGATTGGGCTGACTGTCCTGACTGGTGCAAGCAAAAACTAGAGTAGGTGAGGGTTGGTTGGGCTTTGCCACATCATCAGATGCAGAGGCTGGCACTAGTGGATAATTCTGTCAAGTCAAATGCCAGAACCACCTGGAAAGTGCATAATCTGGAAGTGGGTGCGGCCTAGAAGGGAGATAGTGGGCACCTTTATCATGGGTAACTACTCTTACTGGACAGCACGAAAACCAGGACAGGGGCAGGGGTGGCTAGACAGAAAGGCACCTGCCAGTATGTGTGAGGGCTGGATATTAAGTTGGTTGGGTTGAACTAGGCTTCAATGCCCATACACAATGCCAGAGCTAAATGGGATGTGGGAAAGTATGTCTGTTGTACATACGGGCAAGCATGGAAACCAGTGTAGGGGCAGAACTGGTGGGGTTACAGGGAGTTTCTCCAGCAAGGCTGCAGCTCCCATTGATTTGCATGAGGACCGAGTATGAAGTGGGTAGGATTGAGCTGGACTACAATACCCGATGATTCACAAGGAAGACAGGGCTGGAAACAGAACTGACCCAGCAATATCAATGACCAGCATGTGCATAAGCTGATTGGGACGACAGATGATGTTGGAGTGTGTACTGTCAAACTCATGCAAGAATCGGGTATCGGATCATTTCAGATGCAGTTTCTTTGGAGATCTCTCTAACTGAACTGCTGATCTTAGAACCCCAACCATGAAGAGACTGTCAGGCAGTGGATTCTGAATAGGTTTCATTTAGATTGGAACTGCGAGATTGGAAGCAATCCAGAACTGTTCAACTATCAAAACTGTTTCAGCAGGACCCTCGGAGCGTGGCCTAAATCAGGGATCTGGGATGGGTGGGAGGTTCGTTGCGGCTTTACCCCTTGTTTTTCCCCTGACCCCAGATACAGGAAAAATTATATTATTGTGGAAACAATGATATTACCAACTTTCACCTTTTAGCCCCTGACCCTTTGTACCCTAATCAACCAAGTAAGATTATTAAATAATAATTAAAAAAATAAAATTAATCCTTAGGCCCAGCATGGTAGCCTAGTGTCTAAAGTCCTTGTCTTGCATGTGCCAGAATCTCATATGGGCACTGGTCCAATCTAGGCTGCTCTGCTTCTCATCTAGTTACTTTCTTGTGGCCTCGGAAAGTAGTCAAGGATGGCTCAAAACTTGGGACCCGTATCCTTGTGGGAGACTTGGAACAGGCTCTAGCCAGGCTCCTGGTTTTGGAGTGGCACAATTCCGGGCTTTGTGTCCACTTGGGGAGTGAATCATTGGATGGAAGTTTTTCCTCTCTGTATGTCCTTCTCTCTGTAAATCTGCCTTTCCAATAAAAATAAAATAAATCTTTAAATTAATCCTTAAGCTCATTTAGATCACATGAATTTAACATTGTAACACATTTACCATTAACTTATTTACAATTATTCTTTTTGTAAACCTGGAATATTTCCATTTTGATTCCAAAGCACAAGCTTAACACTTCAAAATGTAAAGACATCATGAACAATCCAGAGGGTGTAAACAGAAATTAGTTCCCAGGTTGTTAATCTTATTTTTAGCGATTGTATGTAATTGTGCTCTGTGAAGCATAATTGTCACAGATCAGAATATATGATATATGTGTTTTGGGGACTGGCTGATTTCACTAAGCATAGTGTTTTCTAAATGTATTCATTTAGCTGCGAGATACAGGGTTTCTTTCTTTTTGTTGTTGTTTTTTGGATAGTATAGATTTGAATGCTTGATCAATTTAGGATTAACTTGTGTTTATAAGGTGTAAGGTAGGGATTTTGCTTCCTTCTTCTGCATATGTGATTCTAATTATCCAGCACTGTTTGTTGAAAAGACTATCCTGTCTCCCTAGAATGATTTGGCTCACCAAAAACTATGTGGCTGCAGGTGTGTGGGTTCATTGCTGATTTTTCTGTTCTGTTCCCTCATTCGTGTATGTTTTAGTGGCACCATGTTATTTTGTTTAGAAATGCCCTGTTGTACCTCATGAAGTCTAGTATTGTGATGCTTCCTGCTTTGATTCTGTTAACATGCTTTAGCTATTCAGCGTTTCTTGTATTTTCCTAGAAATGTTAAGATTTTTTTTCCAGGTCTGAGAAGAATGCCTTAGGAGAGTATTTTGATTGTGATCATCTTGAATGTGTATATTAATTTTGGTTGATAAAAGCAGTTTGCTTACATTAATTTACCAATCCGTGAAATTGGCAGATTTTTCTATTTTTTGATGTCTTCCTCTATTTTTTTTCATTTTATAATTTTATCATAAAGATTACACACATACTTGGTTACATTTATTTCAAGGTATTAACATTTTTGTAGGTGTTGTGAATGGTTGGTTATCTTGCAAGTTCTTTCTCAACCTTGGAATTGCTTGTGTATACAAAAGGTCATTGATTTCTAAGTGTTTATTGAATATGCTGCAATCTTGAAACTCTGTTATTAATGAGTTCCAACAGTCTTTTAGAGTTTCTAAGTAGAATGTCTTCTGTTGGCCTGCACCCCTATGGCAGGGTCTGATCTACTTACATCAGGTACTGATGAGGTCTCTTGATTGAGGTGGGTACAAATATTGATTGATCCCATATTAGAGATGTGAAACCTGAGACTCAGAGAAGTGAAGCTGTGAGCCCAAGGTCTCGGGGTGGGAAGTGGCCCAGAGAGGGTGTGAATCCAGGTCTGATGGTTCTAGCACCTGTGCTTTTTCCTGAAGGAGGTGGTATGTTCTGATGCCAATTTTCCATCTTGTTTCTCTGTTATCAGTTGGTGACCCTGTATGAACTGTGCAGCCAGATGCTGCAGGGAGCCCTGGTGTCTTCCATTGGCTGTAAGTCCTCCACATGTATTGGGTAAGGGCTGTGGCCTTGGATCCTGGGAGATCTTGTGCTATGCCAGCTGTTCTTGGAAATAGACCCAAGTCCAGCCCCTCTGCCAAGCTTGGCCCTATATTAGAGCCCAAGGTCCACATCTCAATGTTCTTCTCCAGACTCAGGATGCTGCAGCTGCTGAGCTCTCTCCTCCTTGTGGCCCTGGGTAAGCCTCCAGCTTGAATCTGTGCTTCCTGTGCTGGCCTGGACCAGGAACCTGGAAATATGCTTCCCATCCTGGATTCCATGATCCCAACACTGGCTTCCCTCAGAGGGGTCTCAGCATGTAGCTGGGAGAGTTCAATGTGGGCTTTTAGCTTGGTGCTGGTGAGGAGAGGAGAGTGGAAGCAGGGGATGGCCCAGGTCAGGAGAAGGACTAGAAGCAGCACCAAGGGCTGTGAAGGGAGTCCTTAGTGTGGACGGTGAGTAAAGTTGAGTGGGTGGATCTGGCTCTGTGCTTAGACTATGTAGGGTGGAATTTCCACTCCTTTGCTGAATGTTCAAATTCTCCACTCACACTCTCCCTACCTGCCTCCATATCCTGTGTTCTACTCTGTCTCATTACATTGCAGTTCAGGACCTCCTCCTCTGAGTAGCTTCTGTGACTGACAGTCATGGTAGCAGGTAACATTTGGTGAGTGCTTACAGTATGCTCAGCTGGAAACTCAGGGAATTTTGTTACATGATCTCATGTTATTCTCATCACAGCTAGAAGAGGTCAGCACTACTAATGTACATATTTTACATACAGCTCAACTGACCTTAGAGAAGTAAAGTAGTGCATTCTAGAACAAGGTTACACCCTGTTCCTTTAATTAAAAAAAGGTTTATTTTTATTGGAGCAGATTTTTGCACAGGAAGGAGAGGTTGTGCATTTGAGATGGAGAAAGGGAGAGAGAGAGAGAGCAAGGACTTCCATCTGTTGGTTACTTCCCTAAATAGCCTGCAATGGCTGGAACTGAGCCAATCCAATGCTACCAATGCCAGGAGCCCGGAACTTCTCCTGAGTCTCAACACATGTGGGTTTAAGGGCCCAAGGTATTGGGTCATCCTCTGCTCCTTTCCCAGGTCTGAAGCAGGGAGCTGAGTCAGAAGTGGACAGCTGGGACATGAATCATTCCTCACACGAGATGCTGGCACTTGTAGCAGCAGGCTTACACCACCAGACAGGTCCAAAAGTCTGTTTTTCGAACCCAGAATGTCTTGCTTTAAGGGCTCTATTCTTTCAAAAAATGTTTTTGATGTATTTCATTTCAGAGGTAGAAGGAGACACAGGTACACAATCATGTCTGTCCCTTCATCTTGGTCCTTCTCCAAGCTCCTCCCTAGCCTGTCCCAGTGGGTCTCATGACCCAACCGCTGCCTGTTAGGGCAGGAGATATAAGCAAGGAGATAGAATTGGAAATGGAGTCAAAATGCAAACCCAGGCACTTGTGGTGAGCTGTTGGTGTTTTGTGGGGTGTCAAAGACACAACACCAAGTGCCCACTCCAAGTCTATACTCTAAATTGACTGCAATCATTATTGTAATCATTATTTTAACTGTCAACCACCTCCATCTTTTCCATCATTATTACGGAGACTGCATTTTTATCTGTTCCTGTGCCCTCCTTGGAATCTGGAAAGCTCCATTACAGTCCTAGCCCTCAGTATTCCTAGATGGCTGCTCCTGAGGGTCAGAGAGGGAAAGGGGCTTGCACGGGGTCACAGAGCCTGTGTTTGGCACTCTAGTCCTGAAACTCTGATCCCCTTTCCTGCTGGATCCCTTCTGGCTGCTTGATGCCTCTCCTCTTCTTTCCTCTCCAGTTTCAGGGTCACATCCACCAATCCACATCCCTTCCAGACATTTCTCCAACTCCTCCAGCCGTGTGGTCAATGGTGTGCCTGTAGTGCCCCACAACAAATATCCCTGGCAGGTAAGAGCTACACTGAATGCAGTGACTCCCTCTGTGGGCCCTTGACTCAAGATCTGATTGCAAGGTTTCCTGAGTTGACGCTACAGTTCCTTCTCCAGCACTCACTTGATCACCTAAGATTCTAGAACCCTCGAAAAGGCAGTTTCACCTGGAGGTTCTACTTGTTCCACCTGCACTGCTCACTGGGCCTTTTGCAAATCAGCTGCATCTGGGGAAGAAGGGAGGCTTTACTCCAGGGATTGGTGCTGTGGTTGAGGAATCCAGGCACTGTATAGAGGCATGGGTTTCATCTCCTTGAGTCCCCAATAGGGCTCTGCGTTCTGGAGCACAGAGAAGGAAGAGTTGGATCAGGGCAGTGTAAGGTAGTACTAAGGGCAAGGCTTGCTTTGCTGTGGAGCACAGTAACCATAACCGCAATGGACTTTTAAGTGTCAATTAAATACGTTAAATAACATTCTACACTTAGTTTCTTTGTGCCATCCACATTACAACAGCCACATGTAACCAGTGGTTCCCCTTTGGAGAGGAGGCAGAGAATATTTCCATATTCCCAAACATTCTCTTGTGCAGTGTCAGCAGTTACATTCTGGGTGGGAGCAGAGAGTGAGTGCTTGTATCCCTGTCAGCTACATGACTTCTGCAGCAGTGACTTAGCCCTGCCTTGACAGCAGGAAGGCAGCCGGAGAGCATGTGTGTCTGAGTAAGTGTCCTATGTGCATTCAGCATCTGTGTACACACAGACCAGTGCCAGTATTGGGCCGTGGGTCACACTTTGCCAACCTTTGTGTTGAGGGAGACTTGAAGGATATGAATGAGTAGGAAATCTAAGTGCATTTCATGCTTCAGAAGATAAAATCTTAGTGCATTTCATGGTTCAGAATATACAAGAGCCCAGGAGAATGGGGGTTGAGTGATCAGAGTCTTCTGGGCTCTTACTCAACAGAAAGTTTGGGGCTTCCGTAGAAGGCAGAAAATGTGGGAATCCATTCGGAGATCACAGGGCCTGCATGTAAAGACCAGTAGATCACAGAGATCCCAGGGGACAGTGCATCTTACACGAGTAGTTTGGCAGGTTGTGCACTGCAAGTACCGAAAGAGGCAATTGTTCCTGTGTTAAAGAGTTCTGCTTTAGTCATGCATTGTACAATGACTTGTGAGCCTAGAATTCTCTCAGAGCTGTGTTTCTGGGACATCAGATCTTCTCATTTTATGAACAGTAGCATGTCCTGAACTTAATCTGTTGTTGGACTCTCATCAGAACTTTTGGGAATTCTATTCTCCCCATCTGTGTCCTCTCTGGCCTTCACTGATCTTCCCCATGAGCCAGTCTGTGTGCTAACCCTCTCTTTGTTGGGATGTGAGTGCTAGTCAATTAGAGGTCATTCTGTGAATTCATTTTATTCTATCTGCTTCTTTATAGTCCCTGTGTCCAAACCTACTCACATTCTGAGGTTCTGGGTCATAGGAGATGAACATAAGCGATTTGTGTGTTTTGTGTTTGGGACAGTCCAAGACATAATATACAGTTTAGCACATCATGCATAGTAATCACCTAGAACTCTTGTATGACACTGTTTTTCCAGCCTCTTGTTAATGCTTATATGAGTTATCTCCAGTTATTTTGTTTCTAAAAGCAAGGCTGCAGTGAGTAATCAATACTTAGCTCTTTGCTTGCTTGGAAAGAGACTTGGAATTGGAATTGATAAATCAAAGGGCTAAAAGCCTACGTTTTGGTTGCTATTTGTCTAAACATGAACATGTTGCTTCTTATTATTATTTTTAATGTTTTTGGAAGCCATTACTGTGAGGGAAATATGTATCACTGCCAAGTGTACTACCAAAGTTGACTTATCATTTATCCATTTATTTATTTGGAAATAAGAAACTCAGAGAGAGAGAGAGAGGAAGAGCCAGAGGTAAAGCTCGAGATAGAGACAGACATGATAGTGAGCTACAAACAGATTTAGAGATATTAAGATATTTCTCTTGAAGTCAGGAGCTAGACACTCTATCTGGATTTCTCTCTAAAAAGTGTCAGGAAAATACATGAGACATCACTACCGGCAGAGAGCATCTGTGTGTGTGTTAGTGGCCTGTGTGCAGTGAGTGTCTGTGCTCACACAGACCACAGCCAGCCTGGAGATGTGGGCCATACTTTGTCAACCTTGGTTTCCAGGGAGATTTTGAGAATCTGAATGAGAAGGAAATGAGAAGGGGGCAAAGGAATCAGGGTGAGTTATGCTTCAGAAACTTGAGGAGGTCTTGTAAGAGCTGACATAAGAGCTGTAACGTAATGGTAGTCTGAGAAATCAGAGGATTTGTGGGGCTATGAGGTTTTTGGGCATCCTAGAGGGCAGAGAATGAGGGTCGGAGTCTTCAGAGAGCTCACAGGGTCTGGGGTGGGTATACTGGAGAGTCCAGTTATGATCCTTTTGGACAAGTACAGGACCACCTTGAGCAGGTGTGCATGCAGCACTCTGTGCATCTAGGAGGATCTCTGGTGTTCTGTGTGGATGGCACCCTCTAAGGTGTTCAGTGCACACTGCATGCACAAACGTTCAGTGTGTGTCTGGATTTCTCAGACTGTTTCCCTCTGGTTCCCAGGTTGCCTTGTTGTATCTGAACAATGACAATGGTTATCTGTACTTCATCTGTGGCGGGTCGCTTATCAAACGGAACTGGGTTATGACAGCTGCGCATTGTTTCCCGTGAGTTCACCCATTGTGCCTCTCTTCCCTGATCTTTGTCCCTGTGAGACCGAAGCATCCTGTGCCAGTGGGTGACCATGGGAGGTGGACAGTGAAGCCTAAACTGACTTTTCCTCCTTTGGCAGCTATGAAGGGCAGTACTGGGTGATGTTGGGTGCACACAACCTTACTTCACTGTCAGGTTCGGAGCAGATCATCCCTGTGAAAAGGATCGTCAAGCACCCAGATTACGATGATGATTATGCATCCTTAGGGTAAGTGAACTCCAAGTCTGGTACCAGGCTACTGTGTTCTTCCCCATGAGCCACAGCTCATATAGGAGACTCCCAGAAAAAATGGGGATGGTGAAAACTCCAGCCCAGCTCACACACACTTGGCAGATCCTTAGAGACCAGCAGCACCCATCTCACTCTACACAGGGGACAGCATGTCCTGGGAGAGGCAGCAAGTTCTCCCAGGGCTCTGGGCTCAGTGTCCCTGGAGCTCAGGAGCCTCAGACCTCTTCCACAAGTCCAAGGTGTGTTGTGGTCAGCAGAGGTTCCTCCAGCACAGCCTGAATTCCTGGCTGTGTGGGAGGAAGAGGAGGCTGTGAGCATCCTTCCCTGAGTGTCCTGGGAAGTGAGTGCCCTGCTCCAGACCTGAGGTTTCTACTTGTCCAGGGTGACCTGTGTCAGGGTTGTGATGGTGGTGATTGGAGGAGACTCCAACTCATTCCTTACCTGCGGTCAAACCCTTTTTTCTGGAGGCTCTAGTGGTTCCTGGTGAGAGACCACAGGAAGGGGCAGAACCCTCATACAAGCACTATGGAAGTGAGAGGCCATTGATGGAAACCCAGGCCCAGGCCCTTCCCCACAGGGTTTGTGGGAATGTATGGAGACAAGTGAGACCCATAGGAAATGTCCCTAGTGAGAGCAGGCAGAGCAGTGGTTCCCACAGTGTGGGCTGTGGGAGAGCAGCACTTGTGTCCCCTGGGAACCTGCTAAAAATATCAGATCTCAGGCTTCAGTCTGATCACAACCCCACAAATGTCGGTGGGTCCTTGTATTCCTCGTGTTTTGAAAATTGTTGCTATTTGTTTTGATTAAAGGCAGAGAGAGATGAAGTAAGTGTGTGTGTGTGTGTGTGTGTGTGTGTGTGTGTGACAGAGAGAGAGAAGGAATATCTTCCTTCTTAAATGCACCCAGCAGCTAAGGGTGGAGTTGTCCAGATTAGGCAGGAATTGTCTTTGAGTCTCCCAGTGGTTGCTGAAATCAAAGCACTTGCGCTATCACATGTTGATCCAGGGTGCACGTAAGCCCCAAGCTTGAATGGGAAGCCAAGTTTTGACTTGAAACTAAGCACTGTGATGTGTGAAGCAGCCTCATCGCAGCTGTGCCCAAAGCACTCCCCAAAGTGTATTTTAAACTGTCATGTTTTGATATAGCTGGAGTGTGAAAACCAACAGTGGAAACTAAGGACAATTATGATGAGCAAAGATGAAAAGGAGTGAAGCAGTGGGGGTTTCTGGAGTGTGCTGTGCCTTAGACACGGGTGTGGGTTAGATTGGAATAGTAGGGTTCACCTAAATGCTTAGTTGTTCTTATTGTTACTATTTTCCATGAAATAATTTGGAGGTTAAAGGAGCATTCTCTTCCCTTTCCCCTCTCATTCCTCCCTCCTGATTCTCCCCTTCTACTATTTTGACCCATATTGTTCCAATAGTAACAGTAACACAATTAAACTTTTACTATTTAATTTTATCATGGTATTGTAGGTGTAGCCAGTTATAAAATAATCTGGTATCAAATTTTCAGTATATATTAACAGTTTTACTGGTTTACTTATTTTTATTTGGGAGAATTGATGCCCACTGCAATGTAACCTCACCTACAGACTTGCAGGTATTACAGTTCACTGATGAGAATATATGCATTTACTTGTACTGAGTATACTATATAGTTATATTTACTGAGTGCAACTATATAGTTGGGACCACACTGTTGCAAAGGTAGAATTTCATTCTTCTCAATAGCTGTGTAGTATTTCCTGGAGTAGATGCTCTATTTTCTCTCTTATCCTCTTCTGAAAGGCATCTGGATTGTTTTCATGTTTCAACTCTTATGGAGTGTGCTGCTCTAAACATTGGGTTTCAGGTCTCTGTTTTATACATATTTCAGTTCATTGGATATTTTCCAGGAGTAGGAAGCTGAGGCATGTGGTAGATCAAATTTCAGCACTTTCCATACTGATTCCATAGTATCTATATGATCTACACTCCCACCAAAAATGCATTTGGGTAGCTTTTAACTCAAGGTCTTAGCAGCAAGCGTTGCTCGTAGAATTGTTGTGTGTGACCTTCTGCAGGTGTGAAGCCTTTGAGCAAAGGTCTGGCATGGGATCTGGAGGACCAGGCTTACATGACTCTTCCCTCCCCACAGCTATGACATCGCTCTAGGAAGATTAGAACACTGTGCTGAGCTGACGGACACAGTCCAGCTTGCTACCCTCCCTCCATCTGGATACAAGCTGCCACATGGGACACCATGCTACCTCAGTGGCTGGGGCTACACATTGAGTATGTACTGACCAGGGAGAGTGGGAGAAAAAGTACCTGGGGCCATGGACAATGATGCAGTGGTTTACAAAACCTTGTGGATGTTGGGAAAATAGGAGGAGCGTCCCCTTAGGTCTGAAAAGCTGTGGACCTTGAATGCCTGTCACAAGAAACCTAGTCAAGATCCAGACATATGCTTATTGCTCTGTGTTCCTACAGCTGAAGGTCCAGCCTCAGATGTACTACTGGAGGGTCTGATGCCTGTGGTGGATCATGAACACTGCTCTGATCCGGAGTGGTGGGGTGACACCGTGAAGCACTGTCATGTGTGTGCTGGTGGATATGAAGTCTCTGGCTGCTTTGTGAGTCTGTTTACACTGGCAATTGGGGAGAGTCCCAGTGTTCTACCATCTGGGTGGAAGTGGAGGAGCTGCCTTCTGTTAGGCCAAGGCATCCCCCATGCCAGGAGGAATTGAGGAATGATATGGAGGAATTAAGCACAGCCCACACACCCTGACTCCTGTCCCAGATCACAGGCCCCCTCACCTGGAACCATCACTGTCCCTCCTCCTGCTCAGGCTGCCCCCTCAGCACATCTGGGACACTCACACTACCACTTTGAGTCACCCACTCTGGGCTCTGCAGGGATCCTCAACCACTGTGCTGTGGCAGCTGAGTCTTAGGCAGCAGGGAAGGTGCTGCCAGCAGGGGCACTGGTGTCTCTCAGGGCTCCCTCTGTGCCAGGGGCTGTGCTGAGGTCCTGTGTGGGTCCCTTCCTGCTCAGCAGCTGTGGTAGCACAGACCCTGGTCCTGGCCAGCTGAGGCCCTGAGCCTGGGAGAGGTGTAGCAGTGTGGGTGTGTCTGCAACCCCCAGGTCAGGGTCAGGGACAATTCCTTCCAGCTGAGATGTGGCTCAGGCTCCATTCCTTTGACCTTCACAGGGTGACTCTGGAGGACCCCTCAACTGCCCTGCAGAGGATGGTTCCTGGGAGGTTCATGGCATTGCCAGCTTTGTTTCTGGCTATGGCTGCAACGCTGAGAAGAAGCCCACGGTGTTCACGCGTGTGTCAGCCTACATTGCCTGGATTAAGTTTGTGAGCAGCCTTGGGCAGCTGGCAGGGCTTTCATTGGGGCATGGGACGTTTTCCTGAGATGGGCTGGGGGATAAGACAGAAAGGGCAAATCCTGGTGATGGGCTGCAGGGATCCCTAGAATTATAGTGTTGAAGTGTCCTTGGGGGACATTCCCAAAGGGTCCTGGGTGTGTTCTGCTCTGTGTGGTTCTGAACTTCACCGGCTTAGATGGATCTCTGTACTTCCTTTTTCATTGAGATTTTCCCGGTGTGTCCTCTGCTCAAGTCCTTTCTTGTCATATAAAGTACAGAGGGTCACACAGTCAACTGGTGTAGAAGATGTGGAGTGGATAGGCCCGTGATGAAGGATGCTGATTCTGCCGCATCTAAAGGGGGTGGCTAGTTACAGAAGCCTAAGTTTGTCCACATTCTCAGCAGTCACAACCACTTAAAGCCCATATACACACGCACCAGACAGCGATCCAGTGTAGTTTAATCAAGATCACTGATGAGGCAAGTACTATGATCACCACAACCATTAGTGAAGAAGCTGAGGCTCAGAGAGAGCAAGTCACTCTCCCAGGTCCACAGGGAATGCGTGGTGAGACTAGAAGCTGACCCCAGTTTTATGTGACTCCAGAACCTGTGATGCTAACCGGGATGTTCTGTCCTCTTCCTTTTCCAGAATGTTGGCAGTTGTTCCTGCTGTTCATGAGGACCCCATATTCTCTACAAATAATAAAGATCTCTCAGCAAGTTTTGAGTTGAGTCTTTTTCCCACATTTCATCTTCCCCTGTGGTGTGTTCTTGAGATCTGAGAACTGAATTGCAGAGATGAGAGCAGATTCAATCTCTCATGTGAGGACAAGAATAATTTTGTTCCCAGGTCAAAGATGGTGTCCTGATGGTGTGATGATGCTCTTGTTTTGGTTGGGACTGTTGATTCTCAGACCCAGGACTTCCACTGTTGAAACTGAGGTAGTACCAGGACAAAGGACAAGCAGGTCCACTAGAATTAGTCCCTAGATATCAGTGTCTTCTCATGGAGGCACAGCAAACAATGACACCTTCAATGAGTCTGAGGTTGTCTGCTCTGGAGGCTCATGGTAGAGTGGAAGGTCAGGGGTTCATTCCTCCACTGACTTGGTGGAGAAGGAGTGCTGTTGTCATTCACTCATTCACTCACTATCATGCATTCCTTATTTTAGTGGTGGGCTCTGAAGGGGAGGGTCACGTGAATGCTGCTCTGAAGTGATCATTACTTACTGAGATGTATGCCCGGCAGGGACATCCAAGAAACATTGACTGACTTCGTCTTCATGACCAGCACCAGGATCAGAGTATAGAGATGAGTGGGATAGCCTGAGTGAACCCTGGTCACCAGACAATGGAACACACACACACACACACACACACACACACACACACACACACACACACACTACCAAACAGGAACAGGTGTAGTGCTGCACACAGAGCACATAAATAGTCAAGTCTTAGCATCTGACATGCAGGAAGATTAAACAAAACACAGCCCACCTCTGGATACATGTTGCTCTGAACTCCACTGGATGGAGCCTAGCCCCAGCAAAGGCACTTGTCAATCACTCTCATTATTATTTAAAATATTGATTTTAGTTTTTATTGTAAAGTCAGATTTACAGAGAAAGAGATACAAAGAGACATATCTTCCATTTGCTCTTTCCCTCCCCAAGTGGCCAGAATGGCCCACAGCTGAGCCAAACTGAATCCAGGAGCCAGAGCTTCTTCCAGGTCTTGCATGTGGGTGTAGTGTCCCAAGGCTCTGAGCCATGCTTTCTAAGGCCATGCTTTCTCAGGCAATAAGCAGGGAGCTGGATGGGAAGTAGAGCAGCTGTATCATGAATAGGATTTGGTGGTTGTAAGGTGAGGATTTAGCCATTGACTGAGCCATTGTACAAGGCCCCAGATCACTCTCATTTTTTTTAAAGATTTATTATTATTATTATTATTATTTTATTGGAAAGGCGGATATACAGAGAGGAGAGACAGAGAGGAAGATCTTCCACCCGATGATTCACTCCCCAAGTGAGCGCAACGGGCCGATACTATGCCGATCCGAAGCCAGGAGCTTCTTCTGGGTCTCCCACGTGGGTGCAGGGTCCCAAAGCTTTGGGCCGTCCTCGACTGCTTTCCCAGGCCACAGGCAGGGAGCTGGAAGGGAAGCGGGGCTGCCGGGATTAGAACCGGCGCCCATATGGGATGGGATTCCGGGCATGCAAGGCGAGGACCTTTAACCACTTGCGCCACCGTGCCGGGCCCAGATCACTCTCATTATTAATGTGCTCCCTTGTTACCTTTTTTTAGTTACATTTTTATCTCTGGTGTTGATGCAATAGGTTGAAATGCTGCTGCCACAGTGGTTCCCCTTATAGGACTTCAGGTTTGAGTCCTAGCTCCTCTACTTCTTTCCAGCATAGTTTTAAATTGGCCCATGAAAAGAGTGGATAATTCCCAGATGTTGTGTCTCTTATCACCCAGGAGGGATGCAGGCTTCTGGATTCCTCCTGTCTAACCCTGTCTCCTTTGGACATTGCATCGTAAATCAGCTGATGGGGCATCTCTCTCTCTCTTTCTCTCTGTATGTGTGTTTCTCTGATCTTCTTTTTCTCATTCATACTTCTTTTAAAAATAATAATATATAAATCGTATATATATATATGTGTGTATGTGTGTGTGTGTGTGTTTTCTGCAAAGAGGTATTTTGGATAGTGAGTAGTATTTCAGACAGTGAGTCACACCCATAGTATACATCAGAGACACTGGATTGGCAATTTGTGGAGGATATATAGGAGTTCTGGAATCACACAGGAATTGCTCATTTTGACTAAGGTAAACTGGTGGCAAGTAACTTACAGGTGTGGCTAAGGCATTATAGGACTATAAATTCAGAATGTCTTCTTCCTCCTGATGGATGAGAGCAGGGCCCTTGGAGAATTATCCAGAATAGCTTCAGGATAAAGCATGGTGGGAAGTGGTGTCCTGGCATGGTGTCCACTCCATGTAGAATCCTACCATGTGTCAGAGAAGAGATGAGAACTGCTATGATCCCGATGATCCTGTCTCACCACACATGGGTATAAGAAAATTTTGCCACAGATGGTTAATGATTTGATCAACATTTCAGTTTTCATTACAAAAGTTATTATAGTCTCAACAACTCAAACTTTTAAAGTAAGTTTTAGTCAATCACTTGATTTTTGAATATAACACTGTGTTGTAGTGGATTAAGCCACTTTCTGTGGAGTAATGTCCTGATTGATCTTTCACTCTAGCTCCCTGCTAGTGTTCCAAGGAAGGCAGTGGAATATGGTTGTGATTGTTCAGGCTTTCAGGGTGAATCTCAAAATGCAGTGCTGGCTGATTCAGGTATAAGAGAGACGCTGGGGAATTTCTATGTCTTAATTTCTGTTCACTTTTTCAGCTGTGTAATTTGTGAAACTATTTAATATCCATTATCAGGTAACAAGGATCCATAATCAAAGTAAGTGCATTTTAAATTAATGCTTAAACTCATTTAGACCACCTGCTCTGAATGTTGTGTATAATCTTAAGTGACCCATATGCAATTAAATTAATTGCAAATATTCTTTTTGTAAAATTGGAATATTTCAGTTTGTTTGCACAGCACAAGTTTAATACTTCAACAGGTAAAAATATTATGAAAAAGCCAGAGGCAAATAGCAATTAGGTCCCAGGAAGTTAATCTTATTTGTAGACATTATATTTAATTCTGCTGTGTGAAATAGCTGTCAGATATCAGAAGAATAAATGATACATTTCTTTTGGTTTCTAAATAGATTCATTTAGCTGTTAGAGGCAGGTTTTCATTTTTTTTTACTTACCTATTTATTTATTTTTGTAGCTGGATAGTGTAGATTTAGATGCTTGATCCATTTAGAGTTAATTTCTTTATAAGCTGTAAGGTAGGGATCTTGCTTCTTACTTGTGCATATGTGGTTCCCATTTTCCAGCACCATTTGTTGAAAAGACTTTCCTGTCTCCCTGGACTAATTTGGCTCACTAATAAAAAATTATTTGGCTGTAGTTGTGTGGGTTCATTGCTGGTATTTCTGTTCTCTTTCCTCATTCATGTATTTTTTAGTACCAGCAGCAGGTCATTTTGTTTAGAAATGCCCTGTAGTACCTCATGAAGTCTAGTATTGTGATGCCTCCTGCTTTGATTCCGTTAACATTGTTTTAGCTATTCAGTGTTTCTTGTTTTCCTATGAGGTTTAGGATTAATTTTCTTTTTCTTTTTTTAAATTCTTTTTTTTATGACACAGTTTAATAGGCATTGGGGTTTCCCCTCCACATTTTTTTTTTTTACTTTTTCACATTTTATTATTATTATTTTCATTTTATGGTACAGTTCCATATTCCCTTATTCCCTCCCCAATTGCCTCCCCCCGCCACCTAGTTCCTCTATATCATTACTAACACATAGTTCTTCATACTCAGTCATATGCCCATCATTGCAGGCATGGACAGTGGCAGAGTGTCCAGAATTCTATTGTCAAGATATAGTGAACAGTTTCATTGTAAGTCCATCTTTGTTTGGAAACAGAAATGCATACCACACTGCATCCTCACATCTGGATGTTAGTCTCCATTTCACAGCTACTGTACATCCCCTCACATGAAAAGTCATAATACAAAATCAACAATGAAAGAAAAATCAAAATTTACAATGCCATGAAGTTAAATGACATGTTACTGGATATGATAGTCTCCATTACACAGCTACTATACATTCCCTTAAATGAAGAGCCACAAAACAAAATCAACTTCCAGAAGAAAAGAGAAATTAACAAACCATGAAGTTAAATAACGTGCTACTAAATGACTAACCTGTAGCTGAAGAAATGAAAATCAAAAACCTTCTTGAAGAAAATGATGCTACTGCATGATCTACGAGTCATTGAATGATTTAATCAGAAGAAAGTGTTTTGAAAAGATGAAACCAAGAGAAAACAACAGAAC